TACACAGTACGTAGATAGATTTACTGCTGCTACAGTATAAGTGGGAGTAAATACAATATCACAGTACCATGTTTTGGTGCTCAACGTTGCAGGACATGTAGATCAATCTCACAATAGTATTACTTGACGGAAAATGCATTAACGGATTTCATTGAATAGAAGCTCAGCACATATTAGTACCACCTAGGTGTTTTGGTGCCCGATCAAAGAAAATAGAAATCTTTCGCACACTATATGCCCGGTCTTATATATTCAAATTACTACAGGTATATGTGTATATTCGCTCGAGGCAAGGCTGCGGCAGGACGTCTGTCCAATTGGGTCGTCGCAATTGTCGCCAGGGTGGTAATTGTGTCCATTCGTTCGTTCAAGTTATCGATGAGCTGCAATCTATATGGGAAGAAATCTGTAGGTAATGATTGAATGGATCGACGATGAGGGTGATTCTAGTGTTATTTTTTGTTTTGATCTGAGAAAAAAATCTTAATTTGATCCAGAAATGATGTATTAGAGATCTTTAGTTCTAGGAACAGCGCGACATTTGGATCTGCGGCGATCTGGATAAAATCTAAAGTAGATTACCGATGGATTTTCCAATACTTAGTTCCATTGAAATAACGAAGGACCGCGTCGTTCAACTTGAATATATGTTTGAACCAAAGCAGAAAAAAATGGTCATTAAAGGGAAAGACCCTTTTTCTGTACTATGTTCCAAAACCTCGAGTTATTCCAGGAATTAAAGTTCTCTATTGGACGAAAAAAAAAACGAGCACAAAGAAGTTATTCAGAACAAAACATACAATGGTTTTTTTATTGATATCTTTCCAACCTCTGCTAGCAATTGTGAATGACTGTATGCTCTCCATCACTGAAAGAATGTGGATGTAGCTAACTCGCTGAACAACCTTTTCCAGATATCACAAAAATACAGTAAGAAAAAAATGGTATTCCCAACGTAGGTCGCAGACGATCTAGTTGCTGCTACAGTATACCTGGGGGTAAATACAATATTACAATACCTAGTTTATCGACGGAGCTCATCGCCGATGCTATTATCATGTTCGTGGCTAAAGTGTCGAGAAAAGTAATAAGTTCCGTGTCTAATTCATATTTTTTGTATCTTAGATTTCTAAATTCCTGCCGCGAGGGCGTTTTGTCAAGATATCCGTTTGAAATAGAAGTCACCAGCACCTCGCATCAGTTTATTGTCTGCTCAAGCATGGTCTGCACCGAATCTGCCACGCTCACCCTGCACCCATGAAGTGATATTTATCTATCTTGGCTACATCGAATCCATTGACTCATCATTTTTCAGTACTCCACAACATTTCGAATGCTATCCATTATTAATTACGTTGATCACAAAGTAGCAATGTGTGTCCGCAATCGCATCATTCATTTTGTCATAATAGTTGCTGGTCGCAGCCAGCAACTATTGTGACAAAATCCTTTCTTAGGCAACTTAGGTAGCTTTATTAAGGATATGAAAACAAAGCCGATATTAATAAAATGAGGAGAGCCGAGTTTGCGCAGGAATTACTTCTCTTGTAAGCATATGAGCTTTAGACAGGAAGTGCCAAGGTAGCTTGTAGAATTAAATTAAACAGTTTATTTGGGCTAGATGTTTTTCAGAGTCACACCTCCAGTCATTTAAGTGCTTGAGATCTCCACCATCGGTCCCTCCGTCCCTGACGTGCAGCCTCAGGTCTCCACCTACATATCTATCAGCAAAAATCCTTTGTCAGGCAAAATATACACGAAGGGACTCTTACGGCAGTGACCATCGCTGATAAAGGCCAGGGGTGTAGCGGGAAATGTACATGTGAAAGCCGATCTTGTGTCCTTTTATGTTAGACCGCTCTTGAGACGGTTCCGTTTTATTTGAGACGGTTCACATTATTTTCTCTGTTCGACCGGCTAATTGCAGCGACAGTGGAGGCATGTGGCTTCGATTCATAGCTGTAAAATCCGGCTCACATTGATCGCATCCCCGAGACGCGAGACTAGGACTAATTTCCAGCAGAATTATTAAACGGTAGTCCTGTACATAAGGCCATGGCACATCAAACTTCATGAGTATATTTATCTGCTGGTAGTACTGAAGCTCTAAAATACTGGTGGTGTTTGATCACAATGGTACACTGAGCCCATATTGCACCAAGACCCCATCTCAGGATCGCGGGACGGTTCGTACAGACCCCAAAGGCACACGCCGACGGCGGTGTTGGTTGAAATGGCTGTAGGCGCTCGTTTCCGCTGTGACAGGCGCTATTCGAGATCAGGTTTGATGGTACTCCAGTACAATAGCTGCATACTTGGCTTTGAGAAGGTCGCTTGACTGGAGCAGCGACCATTGCTGCGTTTCAGCTCATAACTACTTTTGCTACGTCGGTCTCATGTGGCACTCCACTTTCCTCCTCATCCTCTTCACGTGCTTCTCGGCTGCACAGAGCGCTTCAGACTTCGAGAGTGGCAGCTCCAGCGATCTGGCCTCTTCAAGTGGTGCCACTGGTGATGTCTACAATGTCTGCCCCGTTGTCGTCGACTTTACTGAAGAGCAAGATGATCTCTCGGATGACGAACTGAAGGCCAACGCCGCTGACGCCGCCATGTCAGCTTATCTCCTTAGCCATCCCAACAACACTTTGTGGGACTACTTCAAAATCGAGCACAGGCAGAAGAAGGCGATGAGTCAGCGACTTCCGCTTGCAGAGCGAATCAAAAATGCTCTCAAGGGAGTTGTTGACTTTACGGCGAACACCGTCATCGACCTGGCTCAGGACATTGCCAGTGCGGTGAAATGGATCATTAACACTCTACGCGATCCTCTTGTCGGCATCAAGCAAGTCACTGACTTTTTCAAGACATTTGGCAAGAATATCAAGTCGCTTTGGAAATTGTTCAAGGAAGATCCCAAGGACACGTCTAAGAACATGGCGGGTGGTTTACTGTTACACATTACGCATCATCCGGCTGAGTTTACTGCCGAGACGGTATTGACGGTTAGTGCTGGTTTTGCGGTGATCGGAGGTCTCCTGGCTGGTGTTGAGGCTGTCTTCGGAGGGATGAGTAACATGATCTCGAACGTCCTCATGTCTGTTCTGATGTTCATCCATGCAATTGACGATCCGCTCTACATCGTCACGCCACTCATTAACTCTGTCGTTGAGACTGCTGGTGCCATTGGTACTGGCACTAACTCGAGCAACTCAAGCGTTACTCTCACAATTGATCCGATTAAGCCATTGAAGGCGTGCAAGATCCCCAATGCGTACCGTCCGGTGTTCTCCTCGCGCGACTTGTGCTTAAGCTCCCCTGCCAAGGTTCGTGAACTGATCTTTGGAAGTGCCAAACGCACGTTCAAGATGACCACCCCAGAGAGAATTGCTGCCTACAACCACTTCCACGACTTCGTGTGTTGCTTCCTGCAAAACCAAGAGTTTGAGGTGAATGCACCGAAAATGGATCCAACCAAGTTCGAAAATGAACTCGTCCCGACGCCTGTGAAAATGCGCAACTGCTCCTTGCTACTTGCTAATTACAGCGATGACACGGTGTGGGAAGCCCCCGCTAGTCTGGATGACTCTACTAGCCTTGATGATGTTGACGATACGAGCAGCGACGAAACCAACTAGACACAGCCTCTATTATCATACTAACTGCTTTTACCCAACACTAATTCAGATAGTTTGAACAAACTTTTTGAAATCATGGCGTTGTCGTCTAAGTTGCATTCACCTTAAATAGCTTAACTTATAGTGATATCTTGCAACAAAGCAAAGTAAAACAATTCCATTTTGAGAATGATAGCTTCATGCTGGAGTAGACCGCTTTTGTTTTCGACCTTGGTTGCGACGTCAATTTACACAATTAATATCACTACTTTTCATGGTAGACTTACCATCAGTTGCCAACAATACAATCTGAATAAAATCTGAATCACGACGGATTCTAGTAGGTCTCGGAACACTACGAAGGAAGCTGGCGCTTCCAGACAAACCAAAGCTCTGTTATTGGTCCTAGGCTAGATGTGTAAGTGATCTCAGCGGCCGCTCAGTCGGCCTTGGTGGTTTTGTAACATATGTCCTATTATTACTATCCTTGCCAGCTTGGCGATGTCTATCAGTCGACATCACCCGGTGAATGGGCTAGGCTTGATTTGTTAGCCACCACTACACAGACAATGGATGCTTCAGTAGTAATACTAGTGGTTTGATCCAGTCATGAAAAGTACTACTAGCACTGAATGTAGTACACTTCGTATTGGGTGCTTCAGTAGTATAATAGCATGTAGTACTACATCACAAAAAAGTAGTAGAAGATTTAGTACCAATACTATTGGTCATTGTTTACCCTTCGAGCTATTTGCAAGAAAAGAAACGAGAATGACACCAGCCAAAGCTAACTGTGAAAATACTGGTATTGTCGCTGCAAGAAACGGCTTATATATGTAGTTTATTCTCTGCGGAGGGTAATCTTGGCAACCACAGAGTCGTAATCGCTCTCCACCTCGGAGCTTTCGGTAGTAGAAGACTTCCAGGCCGTGGCTGCGCTGTAGTTGCCCATAAGCTGAGAGCAGTTTTGCATCTTCACGGGAGTGGCGACGAGATCAGGTTCAAAAGCCGTCGCGTCCATCTTCGGGGCGTTCACCTCGAACTCCTGATCTTCCAGGTAGCAGCACACGAAGTCGTGGAAGCGGTGGTATGCAGCAATACGTTCTTCTTGGGTCATCTTGGCGGCGCGCTTGTACGTTCCAAAGATCAGCTGCCGCACTTGTTTAGGGGAGCTCAAGCACAAGTCTCGGGTAGAGAAAACCGGACGGAACTCTTCCGGAATCTGGCACGTCTCCAAAGGCTCAATCGCATCAATCGTAAGCACTGTACTATCCGCGGTGTTGTTAGCGGTAAGCTTTCCAGCCGTGTCGACAATGGAAGTGACGAGAGGAGTGACGATGTAGATCGGGTCATCGATGGCATGAATGAACATGAGCACGGATAGCAGGACGTTGGAGATGACGTTGCTCATCGTACCGAAGATAGCTTCCACACCGTGCATGAGACCACCGATCACAGCGAATCCAGTACCAATCATAAGAACAGTCTCAGCAGTGAACTCGGACGGGTGGTGCGTGATGTGGAGTAGCAAGCCACCTGCCATGTTCTCGGCCGTCTCCTTGGGGTCCTCCTTCATGAGTCCCCATAGAGACTTGATGTTCTTACCAAACTCCTTGAAGAAGTTGGTGACCTGCTTGGCGCCGACAAGGGGGTCCCGGATAGTGTTGATGATCCACTCGATAGCATCCGCGAGAGTCTGTGCGAGGTGGATAGCAGTGTCAAGCGTGTAGTCAACGAAACCCGTGATGGCGTTCTTGACCCGTTCCTTCAACGGCAGACTCTTTCTCATTGCCTTCTTCTGCTTCCTCTCAATCTTGAAGTAGTCCCACAGAGTGTTGTTGGGGTGGCTCAGCAGATAAGCAGACATGACTGCGTCAGCGGCGTTAGCCTTGAGTTCATCGTCGGACAGATTGTCTTGTTCCTCGGTGAACTCGATGACAACGGGGCAAATGTTGTAGACATCATCGACACTACCACTGGAAGACGTAACGATGAGAGAAGTACTCGAGTTTGAGGGGCTCTGGGCCACACAGACGCAGGAGAAGAGCACGAGGAGGAGAGTTGAGTGCCACATGAGGCCGAGAAGGTAAAATAATTAGTGAGCCGGATTGAAAGGCTTGAACATGCAATGGCTCTTCGTTGCTGGTGGTGGACCACCAAAACCGTTGGAATCGACTGCCTCTCTACATCCTCATGTTGGAGTCCACCCCCTTGTGGATCAACACCACTGACGATACACAAAGAAGTTGGTCCGGTCCAACAATGGCTACAGAATTTCGCGCGTTTCAAATCTAACAGGCAGATCTGGTCTTGCAAATGGCGTCTGTCATGGCGGAAATCGGCGGACCACCCCTTCACCACATTAGGTAGGACCACCACGTGTGAAGCTTTCAGTTTGTGTGTCTTGTACATCCAGAGTATCAAAAATACCAATAAATAGGTTTGTAAGACGTGTTCATTGATAAACTGGCTGGCTTGTTCTGTCTAGAAGATCGTCGACAATGACTATTCTACAGCTTTAACCCGGTAGGAGCACAATACCGTATACAGGTTTTCATGTGCATGTATTGAAGTTCACTTGTGAAGTTTGAAGTTTTGGATCAGATTCGACACGCGCTGTGCACACGTACGCAAAAACCGGCTACGAAATGGCTGTGGTATGCCGATCCTTTTGTTGATCATAGGCGTTCTCATTGGGCCGAGGCAGCTCGCGGCTGTGACGTTTTTGGCTGAAACTGAGACTGAGTCAGCGGGTGGTTTTTTTGCTCTTGGAGGTGCGCATTATGAAAGTTATTTGAAAAAAAATAGTATAGGTGTCCTTTACTCCTTTATCTTTACGACATGGAACAGAGAATGTCTAGATGTACACTATCCATAAGTTTATAGAAGTAGAAAATAATATTTGTACTTGTGCAGTAGTTAATTCTAAGGGTAAGCTTCATATCAGCTACTACAAAGAAAAGAAAACTAACATTAGAAGGGTATTGTACTTGCTCCGATCACCAGTAAACCACTGTATCTGACATGTCAACAAAACTTCTGAGCGGTTGATGAAGAATACAGTGACACTGTCCAAAAAGAGGATTTCTCGTTTCAACAAAGGCGTAAAAGTGCTGTAAGAACGATAGCAATCACTGTCACTAGAATGCGCATGTTTACATACTGCCGGATACATATCAAAGTCCGTTCGAACGAAATAATGCTTTCCACATTTCAAATGGCACATCTTGTTGTTCGCACTCGGGCGGCATCGATTTGCATACTGTATCTTAGTTCCATCTTATTGATAACGGCGAGATTTCTACAGCAGCATGATGTTCTATTCCGCTGGAACCAGCAACGCCGAAGCACCATCCTTTTGATCTACGTGTACGTATATTGTAGAAATTCCACTGCAGTATCGGGAGGTTAGATGGAAATGGCTAAAAGCTCGTGACCAAGATTATTTCAGAGTCAGATTCGGTGTCGATCAGATAGAGGCGGTAGCTTTTGCTGGCACACAACTTGTGCGACACAAGCCTCCGACAGTGTAGGCGACATTCACGTCCGTCACGTTTTTGTTGGTGCTACTGCTCGATAGCGAAATTACATGTACAGTATCATACACCCGCCGTGTTAGCGAATTCCTGGCCAATGACGCTCAGAAAATGAGGAAGTTCGCTCAAGGCAACATGCCTTCCACCAATAAGGGTAGCTTGTGCTAAAAATATTGGGATACTAGCCGGAGTTCAACCATAGTTTGCCTTTTGAAAAGTATCAGATATTCGATGTCTTTCAATTTTTAAATGTTTAGTCGGCCTCATCTTAACAGCAACACTTTGCGGAATCGCCCGAGAAAGGTACGGTTATCGGTCACACAGCAAACTCAGTTGTGCCCAACCGTTCGACCTCCGCGTCGTGTCCAGCAATTCCTTCCTACTACATCCTCCGACGACTGTATGTCGTTGATCTCGGGCAAGCACCATCCCTAATGCGCCATTATCAAAATCACCTCCAACCGCCTAAAACCTTCGCTGACCAATGGTTGAAACAGGTCACAACGTCTCGGTGGCCTTTGCGCTCAACATCGCCGCTGGAGCTGCCACGATCCTAGGTGGCATGGTCGTATTCAGCAAGCGTCTCGTATACTTGGCCAACCCATTAAGTTTGGCTGTCGCTCTGAGTATTTCGTCCGGTGTGATGATGTTCATCTCGCTGGTGGAGATCTTCGGTGAATCGGTGCACCTATTGACCGAAGGAATTAAGACCGAAGACATGACTGAGGAGACGGCAACTGGTCATGGTTGGCTCGCTGCAACGGCATGCTTCGCAGTCGGTATCTTGCTCATCTACTTCATCGATATCATCGTACACAAGATTTCGCCTGAACACGAGATGACAGAGATCGAAAACCTGCAAGATGTTCGCGAATCCATGCGTGATTTTGAAAGCATCAAACAATCTAACAAGTTTTCGACTCCGAACTTAGAGGCCGGCCCGTCGACCTGTGCTGAGCCTACTACCCAGTACTTTAAGATGGACGAGAACGCCAAGCGTGCCTTGCAGCGCATGGGTGTGCTCAGTGCTCTTGCTATTGGTATCCACAACCTGCCGGAAGGTATCGCCACCTATGTCGGTGCTATCCAAAACTCCTCCGTCGGATTCTCACTTGCTGTGGGTATCGGTCTTCACAACATTCCCGAAGGCATCGCCGTCGCTGCCCCCATCTACTTCGCCACTGGTTCTCGCTGGCGTGGCATCATGTGGTGCGCCATTTCTGCGGCGGCTGAGCCGATTGGTGGAGTCATCGCGTGGTTGGCGATTGGTGATGGTATGGACCCTGTCTCGGAAGGTATCCTGTTCGGAATCGTGTGCGGTATCATGGTGTGTATCTGCGTCAAGGAGCTCATTCCTACGTCATACAAGTTTGCGAAGGACAAGACGCACATCGTTGCCGTGGGCATGTTTGCTGGTATGTTCATCATGGTTTCGAGTCTTACGCTCTTCGGCTACGCCGGCGTGTAAAAGAACAACAAAGTGCCAGTAAAATTGGCCTAATATGCAAGTCCTTGCTTGCCTAATCGTAATAGCCTGCGTTAACGAACCTGAAATCTGTTGCATCAATATTTTTTTCTTCGCAAGTACTACGTATTTATAGTATTACAGTTTGGTATGTGGCTACTACAGTAGTAGTAATCGAGGGAACAAATACTCTGGTTGTACAATGAAAATTGCAGTGCTATTACTAAACGCGGATCGTTCAAAGAAGTCGAGATTCATTCTACGAGCACGTTATGCCGTATGGAATCTTCCTGCGCCATATCTCTTTTTCCTCACAGAAGCGGGGTCTTCTCGTTAACGATCTTAACTTCTATAGGAGCATCCAGCTGAGGCAACCCCGACGATCTGATGGAGCTGGCAGTTGCAGACTCCGCAGCCTGCTTCGAACGACGGCTTTTTACACGACGACGAGCACGATCCGCTAGCAGACGAAGACGCTTTTTTACAAAGGCCGATCCAGTTCCCTTCACGACCTTGCGGTAACGAGCCTGCCAGTAGTCCACAATGTCATGCACATACACGTCGCTCTCATCCTCAATTTCTTCCTGGATGAGCTCCTCGATCACGTCTTCAATGGTCACAATGCCGTCAAATACGACACTTTCAGGAATTTCCTCTTCGGAACGCCAACACCTGAATACCACGTCGACATCTTTTGTAACCAGAGCGATATGAGAGCGGCCCTTTTGGAATTCGTTCAGAATCGCGTAGCACGACTCCTTCGGGTTGACCAAAATCGGTTTACGCAGGATCAAATCTCTAATCGGACGACGATCATCCGGATCCAGCACGATAAGCTTCTTCACAAGCAGCAAACCCACAATATTGGACTTGTGCTTCTCATACACGGGGATACGGCTGTGCCCAGACGCCAGAACGCTCGCCAACATGTCCGGAGATAGCTCCGTGTCTAGCTCCAGCATGTAAACGTCTTCCATGGGAATCATAACCTCGGTTACGGTCTTGGCAGCGAGATCCAAAGCGCCGTGGATAATCGTAACCTCATCCACATGCAGACGTGTGCCTTGCGCCGAGTCCTCGTACAGCGAGTGTGGAGTCAGCAATGGCTGCTTGTCACTGATCGCAGACATGGTGGTGACCGTGTGCGAGTGTGTGGCGGTCTCTTCAACCATGTGCGATTGGCGCAAATGATCGACAAACGTTCGACGAGCCGCATCATTTTCGCGTTGCAAGGTCACCAACGCCTTGATCTCCTTGCGTTTGTATTGCGCTGGGTCGTGGTCATCTCCGAGCCACATGTCGAGCACCCGGCTGATCGGATAGGCAATGGGGCACGTGATGGCCATCAAGATCCTCACAAAGGGGCACAACATGGCAGCGATCCGTAGCTGATTGGGACCAGTAAACACTGCCGAAGGGATGATCTCACCGAAGAGCAGTACACACGTCACGGACAGCAAGATAGACACAGCTTCGGGCACTAGCTTGTTGAGGAAGATGGGGAGAGCTTCGTTTGCACTGGCGTTCACGATCAACAGCGTCACCAGTAGTAAGTGGTGCTTGGTCAATACAGGCAGCACCTGCTTGGCGTACTTCTTCTCTTCCTCCGAGCCCTCCATCTCAAGAATGCGCATGTTGAGCATGTCCAGCGACAAGAGGCCCATGGTCAGGCCTGCCATCATGCCAGCGGCGCAGATCAGCAGCAGCGACATGGCCAGATACAGGTAGAAGGACGCGGGGTCGCACCATGGCGTGAAGAACTCGCACTCGTGAGTGGCGCCTAAGGCGATCGTCGGGGCGGTGGACAGCGGGCCAATTGCCATAAAAAGAAGCGAGTGGCTAATGATTGGGAAGAATGGTTATGAACGGGAGGGAGGGAGGCCTAGGGACTCCCTAAGGGAGAGGACAGCACTGCCGGTAGAGCAGCTCTGTGGCCGTTTCACGAATACGTCGGAATACCGTGAAAATGTGATTGGTATGCTATTTCTGCAGCTGTTTGGTGTGTGTTTGACTTGGCGGGAGTATGCTGTGCCACACTAATTAGTGTCACAAAAGCAAATGGTGATGGGTAAAAATTTAACCCACACCGGACATGATATGGGCTCACTTGACTTCAAAATCACGGTTGCCTACATGTACGTCATCCTAGAATTGCCACAGCCTCCTTCTTGTTCTTAACAGCGCGAGACTTGGATTTGGTACCTTCGTCTGCTGATGTTGCGGCGGTGACGTCCATCGAAATGTCCGCTGTATGAAAACAAGTGAAGTGAGTGAAAAGAACCCAAATTGCAACCATGTAACATACCTGTGTCAAGGGCAGTGGTGGGAGCCTCGGGCATGGTTACTGCGAGTGCGTCCGCTTCAAGTTTCTCGATCTCAGCGAGCTCACTGAGCACGGCGTCTTCGTCCTCGACGGTCAAACTGCCACCAATGATCCTGCTGATTTCCTATTGCGAGTTTACCCACATTGTCGTGCAACATAAACAACGCGTGAGATCCCGTGCAAAAGTATCTTCGCATTTGACAGCAGCACTGGAAATCACAAGACGTACATTTGCTGTAGCCTGCGCTTCTTCCGTCTCCAGCATCAGCTCCTCGACAGACTCAACCGTCATCTCCTACAACAATATCGATCAGATTTAGGTACACTCTCGAAACAACCACTGACTTTAGCCGAAATGCAGCAAGAACGCACCTTGTGGATGGCGTTTAGGATGGAGTTACCGGCCTTTAGTCCCTCAAATACTTGCAGCTGCTGAGTCTCCCACTCCACTGTGTCCAGCATACCCAACACCTGAATCAAATGCTCATCGGCCTGGTGCATCTGCTGCTCCTTGTACTTCTTCAATTTCAACGCCAGCTTTGCGCGATCCTGTACGCATACACCAATACACAGTCCACTGTCGGATATCACACCGACAGTCCGTAAATCAGCATGCATTCGTACCCTCTTGCCGACCTGCAGAAGTCTTTTGGCGCTGTCATGTAGTTGGTTGGCCTCGATGTCCAGGCGTGCTTGGTACTTCTTGCGCCTATCACGGGCATTCTTGAGATCGAGGATCGCCTTATCCTTGGAAGTGATCTGCGCGCGGACACCTCTGGCTCCAGCGCCGCCGTCAGCACTAGCGGTCGAGGACGCGTGCTGCTTGTTCTTGGAGTTGGAGCTACCCATGCTGCCTGCTACGTGTGAGAAGAAATAGAAATGCGATGTCTGATTGGTAGAAAAATCGTTTTATTGGGTTATGATTGGATGAAAAGGAGTTCAGATTATCGCTTGACTTGGGCCAACTTGATGATGTGCGTCAGCATTACAGACGGCTGGTCTTCTTGGACTTCGACCCCATAGCTTGAGCCACCTTGGAGTGGGTTGGACGGCCGAGCAGGTTCGTGATGAAGTCTCCTGCTTCTATCACCTTTTGAAGATCCACTCCCGTCTGGATGCCGAGACCATGCACCATGTACAGCACATCTTCGGTCGCCACGTTTCCAGAAGCTCCGCTGGCGTACGGACAGCCTCCCAGTCCAGCAACAGAGCTGTCAACAACAGCGATGCCCTCCTGCAAAGAATATTATTGCGTGAGCTCAGCGCGTTGAAAGAAGGAAATATAGGGTATAAACGTACTTGCAGGGCGATCAAGATGTTGGACAATGCTTGCCCGTATGTGTCGTGGAAGTGCACAGCGAGACGATCAACTGGAACAACCTGCTTCGTGGCCTGCAGCATCGCCAGTGTGGATGCTAGCAATGATCGTAGCGATCACAGTTAGCTTCAACATGCCATGGTTTCAAATAGTAGAGTAGATGTCTTACCTGGGTTCCCAACACCGATTGTATCGCCCAACGACACTTCGTAGCAGCCCATTTCGAGCATCTTCAGAGCAACGGCAGCAACAGTAGAAGGCTCCACGGGACCTTGGTACGGACACCCCAGCACGCACGACACATACCTGCATACAGAGTCCACAATTACTCAATCGATGTTCAACCTACTTATTCGACGAGTCCACTTACCCACGAACACGGATCCCGAGAGTATTCGCCTTCTCACACACCGGACGGAAGCGCTCCAAGCTTTCTTCAATCGAGCAATTAATGTTCTTCTGACTGAACGCCTCAGACGCGGCGCCGAAGATGGCCACCTCCTTCGCCCCGGCCGCTACAGCACTGTCAAAACCCTGCAGAACATCACGAAACCGTCAATACAGCAAACCTACAGCACAGAAGTATAAAACAACAGCGTACCTTGATATTCGGCGTGAGAACCGGGTACGACACGCCCTCCTTCCTCGAAATTCCCTTCAACACGTACGCATTGTCGGCCATCTGCAGACATTCACTCTTGTCACTACTTCCCAGTACCAACGAACCAGCCAAGCCTCTCACCTGCGGGATCCACTTGGGAGACACGAAGGACGTCGCCTCGATCGCGGACAGACCCGTCTCGGACAGCAAATTGATGAACTTGACCTTGTCGTCTGTCGAAACATTGGTCTTCTCGTTCTGCAGTCCGTCACGTGGTCCCACCTCCACGATCTTCACGAAGCTCGGGTACCCCGAAGCACTCGCAGTAGCAGGCGTGGCCGATCCCATCGCTCTCGTCGAGAGCCTCTTGCTCACCGCCGCCAGCACACGCCGCCCACGAGGCCTCGGCACCTTCATGTCGTCGGTCTGGCGTCCAAACTGTGAATGAGGACGTCAAACCCCAACTTCAACCTAAGGTTGGAGCCCAAAATACTTCATCCAATCAACCCAATTGGCATAAAATTGGGGTTCGTACTTATTCGCGACTTATTTTGGGTTCAAGCGTTGGCGCCAGTCATTCGGCCAGAGGCATAGCGAGACCAAGTCACTTCAACTCCAGTATCAAAACGGCCGACGGTTGGCTCTGGGTTGACTCGACAATCACTCTTGATCGACATGGCCAGCGCGCTCGCGAGTCAGCTGCAGCGGCTTCGCGAGGCTGGCGCCGGCAGCAAGCGCCGTACCGACACATTCCTGTACGACCAGCGTGAGGCGGCGCGTCTGGACGACGAGACGGTGTACAATTTGGCGTGGAATGGGCTGCTGGAGCTCAAGCAGCTCGATGCGCGCTTCGAGGAGCTGGACGCGGACGCACAGGTAGCCAAACTCTTCAGTCGCCAGCGTATCCACTTCCACCGCGCGCAGAGCTCCAAACAGGACGAGACGGAGCTCAACGCCGCGCTTGACAAGGTGCTGGACGCGCTCAGTGCGTACTTTCTACTAGGCGCAGCGCATAAAGTACTCGAATTCCTTGTGCGTCGCTACGAAGTGCATCGCTATAATGTGGACGCTGTTATGGGCATGATCGTTGCCTACCATGAGTCCTCGTGGTTCGTTCGCATGGTGCGCATTCTTCACATCCACAACACCCGCTGGGAGTTCATGCTAGGAGTCAAGACCCAGGGCACACCGCTGCTGCGTGCTGCGCTCGTACAACGTGCCATTGACGAGTCCTCCGTCATCGAATTTATCTTCAAGGCGGCGACTAGAATCGGAGCTAGCAATCCCAAGCTTACGTCGCTCTACACACTCGTAGTGCTGCAGATTCTTGAACAGGGCAAAGTGAGCGAGCAGATGCTGCGCTGGTTGATCCCGCAGCTGCTAACAGCGCTGAAAACCACGAGTTTCCCGGAACTACAGTCGTCAGCGTACATGATCGTGACTAAATTGGCGTCCAAGGCTACGTTGACGGGCAAAGTGGTGGACGCTCTGGTGAAGAATCTCGTCAAATATGCACAGGCCGGCGCACAGCTGAACGCTCTGCTGTGTGTGATCTTTTTAGCCCAGACGCAGCCGTCGTTCCGCTTGTCCAGCAGTGCCGGCAAACACCTTGTGCAGATGGAAAACGCTGCGGATTTCCTGCGTGACGCCACTTCCAACTACGAATCAGCCAAGTTTGTGCAGCTTCTCACGGTCTTTTTGACGCAGCATATGAAATCCACAGACGATGACTACTTTCGTCTATTGACGACGTTGGTTGAGAGCGTTTCGGTGGTCGACGGATTCACGGATGAGCTGGTTGAAACGATGGTGGAACAGGCTAAGGAGGAGAGTTTTGCGATGGACAACGAACGTGTACAGGCGATTTCACAGGGTCTCGTTGCGCTGAGCAAGAAGAATGCAACGAAAGTGGATGCGGTTGTTAGCTCCATGCTGTCGAAGCAAACGAAGAAGTCGAAGGGCGACAAGAAACTGAACAAATTCCTTACCAAGACGTTCGAGAACGTTGCCAACTCGGCACATTTTGTGCCTTCCAACACGGACGCGAACACGTCTCTTGCCCTCGCGCTGGACCACCCGACTGAGCATATCCGATACCAGGCGTTGGTTTCGCTGGCAAAGATGAACGACGCGAATGCTACGGATAAGGACCAGGTGCTTACGAGCGGAGACATACTTATCCGTCGGCTGCTGGACGACAGCAAACGCATAGCGAGCTTCATGGTTTCCAGTTCTCTCGGTGATCTTATGCTCAGCTTGAGCTCCAAGAAGAAAGTGCTTGCTGCGATTGTACAGGCAGTCCGTAAGTGGACGTCGCGCTCTGACGCTTCTGTGGTTGAGACCATTGCTGATTTCGCGCTTAAGAACTTCCGCAAGGTGGCGGCGTCGTCGGATACTGATGAGAATTTGCTGACGTTGTTTGTTTCTCTCGTGGACAAGAAGAAGACTGTCGTTTCGGTGAATACTGTGTGGTCTTGGATCTCTTTGCTTGACCATCCTTTCGGTGCAAGCGCTGGTAAAGTGTCGGTGAACACAGTCGCTGAGATGGTTGAAAATTTCGCCCATGCTCTTGCAACCGACGTCCCAGGTCTCCTGCCGTTCTGCTTGCGCTGGTCTCAGAAGTCGGACTTCAACGACACTCCGCTTACGGGCTTCTTAGTGGAGGTTCTTTCTGCTGCTCGGATTCAACTGGCGTCGAAGAAGTCGAAGTCAAAAAAGGCAAAGGAACAACAGCTATCGTTGGATCAATCCTTCCGGTTTATTCTCAAGAAGGAATTCGTTTCGTTGTGCGAGGACGATGTGTCTGAGGACCAAGTCACACGCGCAGTGCACGTTGCGTCCAAACTGGCCGAGGTCGCGTACGACGTTTTCGCTGTTTCTCGTGATGAGTTCGATGGATGCGTCGCTACGTTGCTGCAGTCTCCGACCCCCGTATTTATTCGCATTCAAGAGTGTCTGTTGGAGTTGTTCCACGCAGACCTGGAGACGCAGCTGTTGCCGACGATGGCTCGCATTGTCACGAAGCCCGCTCCTGCTAGTGACGTTCTGAAGGTCCTGACGAAGACGCGCTCGTTGGATATTATCTCTGCGGTGCTTGAAGGCTTCTCGTACACCGAATCCGATGAGGAACTGCAGCAGCTTGTCCACGTGGTTCCGGTTGTTATTGTATCACTCTCGGACCTTAGCAAGGTTGTACGTCAATCTGCTGTCGCTTGCTTGGACCGATGGGTTGTATCGAGTGGTGACGCTGTGCGCTCGTCAAAGTCCGCGGACCTGAAGACACTCCAGAAGGCTTCGACTTTCTTCCTTAAGGCCAAGCAGGATATGCTGATGGATGCCAACTCGGTGGTGGCGCTTTGTGGCACGTATAGCGCTCAGGGAGGTAGCTCGGCTTTCCACCAACTGCTGATGGACTTTGTATCTTCTGCGAGTAGCGATGAAATGTGCATTGCAGTGAAACTTCTCGAGTTGCTGGCACCTGTCAAGGAAATGTCGTTCTGGCTGCAATCTGTGGACTTTTTCCAACAGGCTCTCGCTGGCTGCTCGGCGTCCGGTGTGGATGACGCTACTGTCAAGTTGCTGATGGGCTTCCTTGCACATTACTTGGACGCGGACGTTGCTGTTACAACGACGAAGCAAGGGAAGCGTGCTGTTTCTAAGGAATTCCTGGACGTCTTGATTGCTGTATTGCGTTTTGAAAAGGAGGCTGCTTCACACTTGCAGAAGCTGCAGCTCTTCGTTGCGGCTAACCTTTCGGCTGAGTTTTACAACGCTCTGGATGATGTATCTCGTCACGTTCTCGTGGACAAGCTTCTTCGCTTACTGATGGTAGCGGAGGAAGCTCTGGCTTCAAAGCTGATCCCGTGTCTGAACACGTTGCCTATCAGCTACAACATCTTCGTGCGGTTGCTGGAGGAGCAACTTGGTTCCAAGGTGGAGTTCTCTGAACTGAGCTGCATTCTTGAAGTGCTAGCTATTAAGGTCGACAGCGCTTCGAGCTGTGAGGAAACCGACGCTGATATCAGCAAGCTGCTTACGACTCTGTGCGACGTGCTGGCTTTGTTCTGCGACCCGAAGCATGAAAGTGTTGTGTCCGAGTACATCTTACAGGTGCTTTTCAGCTGCCTGCGTCGTGTGTGTGAAGTCAGCTCCGCGTCCTCGAAGCAAGCAAACGAACGTTCGGTTAAGGGTACGAAGCACACGGTGACGGTGAAGCCTGAACTTCTGGTTCAGCACACGCTGACGTGTCTAGGCCGTACTTCATCTCCTCAGACGCGCAATGAGGCCCTGCTTTTCATTAGTTCTCTGGTGAACTTGCACCCGGCTAGTGTGCTGACGTCGCTGGACAAGATCCTGAGCTTTGTGAGTGCTGGTTCGATTCATCACGAGGACGAGTATTCTTTCCATGTTCTGGAGACGATCATCAAGGCGGTGGTTCCACACATTGTTGCGACCAAGAAGCAGAATTCGGACGCGTTGATCACACCTCAGCGGTTTATTGGGCTCTTCGTGGACGCGTTCAACCAAATCCCCAAGAGCAAGCGTGAGGCTCTGTTCGAAGTCGTGGTAGGATCACTTGGAAGTGATCTTCTGCCGTACTGTGTTGTGGCGCTGCTGCAACAAGCTGCGATCGAGGAGGATATGGACGTACAGCGCGAACGCATCCAGTTCGCTCACAGCCTGTGCTTTACCTTTGATTGTGCCGAGCAAGTGTCGTCGCTGGTGATGGTTCTGCGTATGGCGCGTGACTTGCTTCCCCACGTGGTAGAAGAGGCCGATACCGACACGGACGAAATGGACGAAGACGAAGACGATGTGGAATACGAGCGCTTCGTGCTGGATGAGCGATTGGTAAAGTCGAACGCGCTTTCTCGTCAGCTGAACTCGATTCTTGTCAAGTTTATTGCTGCTCACCTACGTGCTCGTGAGTTACATCACAAGATCTTGAGCTATGAGAGCGAACGGGATGAGATGGACGATGAAGAGGGCGATGACTTGCAGCAGAACTACCTGATGCTGGCTCAACTGGACTTGCTGTACTTCCGTCGCGTTGCCCGGGAACAGTCTCTGCATGACGACGAAAGCGGCTTCTGGTCGTTGCTTGCTTCGGATTCCATGGAGATCCTAGGCGCTCTGCAGCAGCTTCTGTCTACGCCTGGATTCGTCGCTGTTATCAGCGAACTACTGCACCACGACAACAGTCTGGTGCGCAAGAAGGCGATGCAGCTTTTCAACGAACGTCTGCAAGACGAGCGCGATTCTCTCTCCTCTGGCGAAGCTTTGCTGTTCATTGACATGCTGGACGAGCTCGATGCTATTCTTCAGAACCCTGAAGGCTCAGAAAACAGTGTGAACATTCAGACTGCACTGCTCAGTGTCGACATCTTGGCCCGCAACTTCGCAACGAACCACACCAAGCGGTTCCAGCAGATCCTCCCGACTATCGTCAAGTACGTGGACCAAGACGTGGTGAACTCGTCTCCCATGACGCTGCACTTGTTCGGCTGTGCGTTCGTGTGTCTGTCTTCGATCTGTCGTGCCGTTGGCCCCGTCGTGTTCCCTCTTCTACCCAAGTTTTTCCCAAAACTACTGAGCGGATTTGAGTACTGTTCGTCGACCAATGGTGTTAGTGGCACCAAGGCGGTGTTGCAGTGTCTGCTGGCGGCGTTGGAGGTGTTCACGGACAAGATTCCACAGTTCCTGGGACCGTATCTGCCTGCTGTCATTCGTGCTCTGTTGACTCCATCCCTGCTCTCTTCTGCACCTGGTAACGCTGAAGTGCTGATGTCCGTGGACTGCTGCTTCTTGAATCTGTGCAACCACGTCGAACTGCGTCAGCTGCTCCCCACTTTGTTCGGAGCGTACGAGCACGTGTTGACGCTCAAGAGCGACACGAGTGTGACGCGGTTGTTCTCGGTTGTGGGAACTGTCGTGAATGATCTTGAATCGTCGGCTATTCGCAAGCATCTGCCTTCGTTTGCTCGCTTCTTCGTTACGGCTTTGGACGCTCGTCGTGTGCATGCGTCCAAGTTGCAAGACCTGGAGGAAGTGGAGGAAGAAGTGCTGGAATGCCTCGTGCAGTTTATCTTGAAACTGAGCGAGAAGCAGCTTAAGCCGCTGTTTTTGAAACTGGCGGAGTGGGCGCAGACGCGTGTTGGATCTTCTGGAAAGAGTGGCGACATCTCGCGTCGGATTTCGTTCTCCAAGTTGATTGTTAAGCTTTCGGAGCGTCTGCGTGGCATCTTCGTGCCGTACTACGCCCACGTTCTGGAGTTCCTGACATCTGCACTTCGTGAGAGTCGCAAGGTGCTGATGCAGAAGCCGCCGCGGTCTTCGGAAGACAGCGACAGCGACGACGACGACTTCTTTGCTAACGAGGACGAACCGCCTGCCAAGAAGGCGAAACTGGGTGTTTCGTCTACAGTTGATGTAAAGATCGAGCGCGAGAGGAATACCCAGCTGTTGACCACCGTGGTGCGCGCTCTGGACGGCTGCTTCGTGCACGATAACGACGGATTTATGGAGAAGGACCGGTTCGACGTTGTGCTGACACCGCTGGTGGACGTGCTGGACGTGCTGCAGTACGATGCGTCGATGCGCGAGTTCGTGTTGGAGACTGTGGCGCCGTGTCTGGCGAACTTGGCGTGGGCTGCTAAGAGTGACTTGCTGTGGAAGCCGCTACACTACTCGGTGCTGATGAAGTCGCGTGGAGACAACGCGTTGGTGCGTCTCGCGGCGCTGGTGACAGTGGAGAAGTGCTATCAGGTGATTGGAGACGAGTTCCTGGCCATGCTGCCTGAGAGTATCCCGTTCCTGGCTGAGCTCATGGAGGACACGAACGATGAGGTGGAGAAGACGTGCCACCGTGTGATCAAGCAGATCGAGGACATCTCGGGCGAGTCCTTGGACCAGTACCTCACGACCTAGACTACGTCAAGTGCTAGGTAATAGATAGAATAGCCACACACTATGTAGACCTCGCCTCGCACCTCGTACGCTCTTCTCCGAGGTCTGCCCGCCACAGCGAGGACGTTTTTGCATTTTCATAAGTCGTAATAAGATGTAGATGATACACTTCAGTGTACTAGCGCATGATTGTCGATCTACATGAAATAACACTCCTACTAATGAAAGGATTTCAAGACCATGATCGAACCATCACTTGGTGCGGTCGAGTTTTTGCTGCCCGCCCAGCATTGCTGGCTCAGCAATCATTGCTGCAATGCTATTTGATGGTACATTTCGTATTGTTTGTGTCAGGAACGACACTCACTATGGTGGTCGTAGCAAATTTGGTCACCACAGCTGTACGTGAGATGCAAGACTTTCCAATGCCGTGCATGTATAATTCATGTATGTACTGTATCACTTTACATGTATTGGCGTAAGCAAAGCTACCGGCTCAGATTACGACATATCGTCATTAGACGATGTGTTGACCGCTTTTTCCAATCATACCGGAATTTTGTTGGCGAATACATGTACATAAATGTCGAGAAGAGAAGAAAGGAAGTCTATTCAACTACTAGTATGTTAGTTAATGTACATACATGAACGTCAGTAAGGAAAGCATGTACTGTCGGGACAACAAATTGTTGCCAACAATCGTGCTTACTGTCGAGATTCTTGGACCAAGAGGTTGATGGAGCAACTGTTCCCATCCGAGAAGAGCTCAAGGAGAGCAAAACGTGCGAAAATGACCACAGTACCGTGTTGATTTCCACCTTCTTCGTTTCTCGAAAGCCAGTTGGCGAAAGCCCCTAGAACACCGTGCTAAGCTCTTCGTGTCAACGTAGCTGATCACTTTTCAATCACCGCGTTGGTACTCAAGCTCAAGGACTCTCTGTGTTTTGCTAATGAAAGTCAGCGTACTTGTCGGTATCGTCGTTGCTTGCATCGTCACGACTCAAGCCCAGGAGCTTCAGGCGGAGGAATCTGCATCTTTGGACGAAATACAGAGGGAAGAGCAGCAGCAGCAGCAACAACAACTAGTATCGTTATCAGCATCGACTTCTGAAGATGCCAGTGGCTCTGTATCCGGCCAAATCGACCTGTTCGACTCTACCTCGGCCTCCGCGAGTGCAAGCACCAGCGGTTCGTGGGATGATGCTATCGTCGGCGATTCCGCTTCAACTTCGGCGTCGGATGCGTCTGCGACCACCGAGGAGAGCGGTAGCTCGTCGGAAGCACCAAGTGTATCTTCATCGGCGTCAGATACTTCCTCTGTGTCTTCAGATAGTGGCGATATCACCCAGGAAAGCTTGATCGACTCCTCGGAATCGCTGGAAGCAAGTGCTGCTACTAGCACCAACGTGTCCTCAGACGGTAGCGACTTCGAGTCCAATGCGGCCTCAGCGGAGAGCGGCAGTGCATCGGAAGCCTCTGCTGCATCGTCGACTACTTCGTCATCTACAACTTCATCTTCCGATGATGGTAGTGGCTCTACGGCATCGGGTAGCGGCAACATAAACCAGAGCGACCTGTTTAACTCTACGTCCGGATCGCAGGATTCCACCGCAGCAACGAAAACCCCTGAACCTTCTATCTCCGTCGAGGATTCCGTTCAGCTAAGCGAAAGCTTCGGTGGCCCACACGGAACGGAGTTTTCGGACGAAGCGGTAGCAACTTCAGGGCAAACCGTTGTGTCCATTACGATCCGAGCAGGTAAGCGCATCGATGGCGTCGCGTTGGAGATTACAGCGCCTGTGGCGACAATATTCAACCACGGTGGAGGTGGCGGTGACCCGAAGACTCTCACACTTGGTCCAGGTGAATACATTACGTCGATGGAGGCTCATTGGGGAAAGCGAAATGGTCACACTCGCATCTTCTACTTGCGCTTTGGTACGAACGCGGGTAACTTCCTTGAAGGGGGATCCAAGACCGACAGTAAAGCCACGGTGACTGCCCCAGAGGGTTTCCAGCTTGGAGGATTCTTCGGTCGAGACGGTGACGAGATCGATCTGCTGGGTGCGATTTGGACGAGCATTGCAGTGGTCACACCAGCACCCGGAGCACCGACACCAGCGCCGACACCGTGGGTAGAAAAGAAGATTGGTCACGATGAAGTGGTGCCTTTTAAGCAACCGGAGCCTGTCACGATCGCTGAAAAAGCTGCCATCAAGTTTAAACCGCAGCTTCACATCACCAATGGTTGTCACGCGTACCCTGCAGTGAACGTAGGGGGTCAGACTAGTGGGGGTCTCAAGACGACTGGTGCCCCTAGCGCCGGTTGCAAGGGATCTGGATGGGGGTCTCAGGTTTACGGCCGCTCAACTTGGCACAATGGAGTCTGGGCTATCATGTACAGTTGGTATTTTCCGAAGGACTCTCCATCCACTGGTCTGGGTCACCGTCACGACTGGGAACACGTGATCGTGTGGATTGACAATCCCGAGATCGCCGAGCCGAAGATCCTAGCAGTCACCCCGTCAGCACACAGTGGGTATTCTGCTCAAGTCCCTCCTGATGCCAATAAGGTTGATGGCAACAGCGTCAAGGTCAAGTACTTGAGCAAATGGCCGATCAACCACGCTCTGGAAAGCACGGGCGAGGCTGGTGACTACCAGGATCTCATTATGTGGGAGCAGTTGACCGACGCAGCTCGGTTGGCATTGCAAAACACTGGCTTTGGCAAAGCAAATGTGCCGATGAAGGACGGGAACTTTGTCAGCAAGCTCGACAAGGCCTGGCCGTTTAAAAACTAAGCGGATACATGGAAGTGCATCGTAGTGTGATTCGCACACTTCTAGGGGCCTCGTTTTTTTTTAAAGCACTCTAAATGTAGGAAAAAATGGCTTTCCAACAAAACAAAAGAACCGTACGAAAACGCAACTGATAACTTATCTAAATTATCAATTATCAGTTGCGTTTTGCATTTTTGTAAAAAAAAATTAACGACGCTTTCAATAAAACGGTGCAATCCAAGTATAAGTTGTTGCACCAAGTAATGCATCCTTCCGCCAAACCCTGAATGCTGAGTTAAAGGACTATGGAACTGGGAAAAGCATAACTCTCTGGATATTTATATCCAGAGTCCAGAGTCTTAGGGGTGATCCTGTCAAATAACATTTTTATGGATATATCTGCAATTATTTGAAACCTAAGAGCGAATATATATATGCAAAAATGACGCAGAAACTAATAAACTGTTTTTTTGTATGCCCCAAAGGGTGAATGTTGACCCAGTCGGCATAGAACAACATTCACGCAACCTTGTACGAATGTGATCCAGTCACATTCAAGCTACCTTATGGCTTCAACTTAAGAAATGAAGCCACTTGAACGACGGAGCAGTTAGTAAATACAACCAGACAAATGTCATGCGTCCAGCTTCAGATATACATGCATCTCGATGCAGCACATGTACTCAATACGAAATTAACACTGGGATACGTTTGAAACTGATTTAGAGACGGCAAACAT